ATTGGCAGAGCATTAAAAAGGACAAGAGAATCCACTTGAGGGAGCTCCCTTTGGCCAAGGCTGGGAAAAGCAGCAAAACATATGAAAGCAATTATAACTTCTAGAATTAAATATCCAAGTCCATACTGATATAAATAATTTTATGCAGATCTTTCTTTTGTCTAATATCTTCACCTATAAAAATGGGACTATTGATATTTATCTTACAAATTGTTCTGAGAATTATTTCAGGGACAGGGTTTTAGAGAACAATTCAAAATACATGGAATCTTGTTACATATTAACCTATACATTAACCTGTACATATTCATTTATTTTCTTGCCTCATTCTTTTTGCGCACATAGATTCCCCAGAAACCAGAATATCATAATTTTGAAGTTGCAGACTTGATTTAGTTTTAGAAACATGGTGTTGTTTTTTAGCAGCCTCTTTCAAAGTGGAATTCCTACCCATTAACTTTTCAGTGACATTTAACCTAGAGTAGTTATTAGGAGCTCCTCTTTGTTTCCCTGGCCAATCTGCCTTCAGTCTCCCCGCAGGGTTCTTTGTAGAAGTGATGCCCAGCCTTTATCAGAATGCTGTTTTCTGCTGCGTGCCCTGGACAACTGGCCGGTAGGGGGCGCTACAGGCTTGGAAGAGGTGACTTGTGTCCCTCCGTGCACAGTTCTGTAGGTACAGCAGCTATCAACTGGATTAGGATGTTGATCTCCCATGGAAGTTCTGGTTTGGCCACGGGGACCCTTTCTGCACTTCTCCTTTTTCTGTCTAGACATTTGGTTGATCTATTTTTAGGGTTGTTAAAGAGTTCAGTGAATCTATCTTTCTACCCATTTTCTATAGGTATTGTCCTCTCCTTCACTTAGTATGATCCTTGAAAGCAGAAAATATTTCTATTTTTCTTTGCTAATCCCTCAGCATCCAATTTAATAATCCACACACTGGACTTGATGCTATCAATCCAGGTTTAGTGCAAGCTAATATTAGGAAGCAGATATAACTCAAATCCTCCTTCTGTGAGAGAGAGATAGTAATACCTGCTTTTTACCTGTTGTACAAAGATATGTGGTCACATCATTTTTATAAGTTAGAAAATACACTGTGATCTGTGTGCAAATGTTTTAAACGTGGCATAAACATAGATAATTCTGTGATACATGGTTAATTCACTTATCCAACAAACATTATCAAACATTCACAGTAGCCCTGACATTGTGTTAAATAGTGAGGATAAATTAAACTTGGGGCAAATAAATGACAGCATCTGCCCTCAGTGGGTTTACAGTCAAATAGAATATGGCAGGTGTGTGAATATATGCAGGTGGCATGATCTATATGTGCCATGATAACCATCATACTCTGAAGAACAATGAAAGTACATTGAGGCACAAAGTTTAAATAATTCTACTGAAATTACTCAGACAGGCTTCACAAAGAAGCTATCACTTTGAGCTAAGTTGGAAGGACAATGTAACCACATTGTATAGAACAAATAAAGAGAAGAACTGATTTAAGTAAGAAAACCAGTCAGGACAATTGCAAGAGTCCAGACATCTAGAGCAGTGAGAAGAGTTAGCATTCAGCATTACACAGGCCTCATAGGAGAAGCCAGGTAAAGATTTACTCACTCTGTGAAATAGGAAACTAATAGAGACATCAAATGCTAAAGAACTAAATATAAGATTAATCATATATGGGGGGGGGGAGGGAGAGAGAGAGAGAGACTGTCTTCTAAATGTCAAACATGCTTCTAGGTGATGAGAATTTCCAATTAATAAAACAAAACAAACTCTACACTTAAGGAAAGAAAATAAACAGACAAATACAAAGCAAATATGTTTAGGTGCTCTGAGAAGAATGAAGCAAGATAGGATAACAGAATAGCAGGACAGTGGATCCATATTTTTTATGTCAGTAGTCAAGGAAGACCTCTCTGATAGAAAGCTTCACTAGCAGAGAGGCTGGGGAAGGAAAGTGGAGATCCATGTGAATATCTGGGTGAAGAAAAGTCCAGGCAGCATGTATTAGTCAGATCTCTTGTCTATGGGACAATATACTCAACATCCATAACTTGAAGTAAGTTTACTTTGGCTCGCAGTTTCAAAAGTTTCAATCCATGGTCAGCTGGCTCTAAGACAGAAAAATCATGCCAGAAAGGTATGATAGAGCAAAGCTGCTCAGTCCATGGCATCAGGGAAACAGAGTGGATTGGAAAGAGCATCAGAGAAGGAAGGGGTCAGAGACAATAGGTAGGCCCCCAAAACCACACATCCATGACCTACTCAGACATGCCCAGAAATGTGCTTTATTAGTTCCCTGGTGGCTCCCAAGCCAATCAAGTTGACAAGCTTAACTACCACATGGAAATAGGAAGGCTAGTGTTTCTGGTTCAGAGGAAGTGAAGGCAAAGAAGACAAGAGGGCAGAGAGGAAGTATTTGGTGGGATAATCTTGGGTTGATTGTGGTTGTTGTCTCTGCAGAGTAGGGGTTTTTCTGTAGGTCCTGTGTACAGTCTGAAGAGTCTAAGGGCCTCAATTGGCAGCTCCACTGATGGGAGATGATGTCTTCAGAATACACAGGCACCAGCCCACTGAGTAGAGGAAGACTCAAGAGTCACTCCAAGCCTCTCTGTTGAATTCCTTGTGCCATTCAACTAGACTTATGCTATAGGTAAAGCAGGCTGGAGTGGGATGGAAATTCAGTTGGGATATGCTGAGTCTGAGGTATCAATGTGGTGGCCAAATGAAGATGTTCAGTAGGTGCTTTATGGGAGTCTATTGCTCAAGAGAAACTTCAGAGTACTAGAAATAAGAGCCATGCATGTGTTTGTTGATAGTTATGGGTGGTAAGATGGTCACCCGGGGAGACTGAGGGGTCAAGTGGACTATTGTCAGCACTTAAAAATTACCAACATTTTAAGAAAGGGTAGAAACAAATGAGACTTCAAACAAGACTAAGAAGGAATCTTTGGAGGTAGCAAGAGAAATAATGTAAATGAGGTATATAGAAATCAAAAGAGAGGAGAGTTCTCAAGAAGACAAAAACAATCAACATTTCCCAATGAAGAAATGCCAAATGGGAAGTGAGATTACAAAGACATTCAGCATAGATTATTTTTTCAAGGAACTTTGGTGTCAAAGGAAGACCTGAGGAAGGTGTCTGTCGGAAGGAAACCAAGGCAATTGAAATGAGACTATTTTTGCTTTTGTTTTTGCTTTAAAGGGGTTGAGATAAACATCTTTGTAGGGTTTGTGGGGAGAATAGCAATACAGAGGAGGAAGCTGAAAATTTAAGAGAGAAAAGAAATTGCTGAGCAAACTCAGATAAGACAAAAAAGCAAAGGCTTTCCACTTAGAAGTCTGGTTGGTGAAAATATCACTCTTTTTACAAAAGTATGATCCTATCCTCATTTCAGAGTTTGATATTCTGCAATACATCTTTGAGAATTCATTTTGATGTTTTAAAGATATTGCATTAAAATATTATTTATCTTTATTACATCGTTTTTAGTTCCCCAAAACTTTGCACCCCAACCCTTGTTAACATCCCCGCCACACACACACACCCCTTACACCAAAATGAAAATGTTAGGATTAATCATTCAGGAAAGTGGTTAATCTTCGTACAAATATCGAGGACTGAGGATGTAAGACAAGGTTGACATGAATACTCTGGAACTCTGGGACTGAACTCCAGAAAAGCAATTAAACAGAAAGGTACCACACTAGAGACTCAACCTCTGCAGATGGGCCGGATTTGATTAGATGTCCACTAAATCGTTCTTCTATGACTAATCCCTAAATATTCTGTAAAATTTTCTTTCTATCAGGCACAAACTACTTCCCAGCAAAAATATACCAGACCCATGCTAATAAGCTTGAATTTTTACCAAATTGTGAATCCATGCAGTACATTTCTTTATGTTAGCACATTTCTCATAGAGCAATTTGTGTCCTTTCCCTGGTGATAGCCTTTTCCCCTATCTCTGTCTGATATATTCATGCAATAGATTTATGAGTTTCATATCTTTACTGTTTTTCTAACTACAAAAGTGCTACCCACCTACCTGATTGGCATAGCTTTAATTTCTTGTTGAAACCCAATTTAACTCCTTATTGCTGCTGATTTACAATTCTCATGATGATAAAGAGAATTTACTTGTGAGTTTCAAAGCTCACAACATTATAAAAATAGCTAGTTGATGGCAAATAGCCCACTAGCTGGTCATGTAAACATAAGTAATTGTTTTGTCAGGTTTTGGCAAAGAAATTGACTGTTATTCATGCTGTCATCATCAGTGGGGTGATGGGAAACACTTAATATTTAACTGTCCCACATTTTGGGGGTTTGCTGATTTCTATGGCAGAAATGATCATGATTCATTTCAACCTACCAACCTGATATTACTGAATGTGGAATGAGAAAGAGTTGCACAGTAGCTAACTATCATGTGATATTTCTAGCATAGATATGAACTAAACATAAATAATGAATACACATAGATGTGACATAACTAGATGTGATGAGTTTTGGGTATTTGTTACCTTTTAAAACAAACTCCTAAATTTATACAATTTTATTTTTAATAATGGCTTGCAAAATTCCTGAAAACTGGAGTCAGCTCTACTGAGCCTGTATGGTCCAGATCCAGCATTCCACTGCTCCTTAATAAGCTTAATGAAAGGAGCTGGTTATGAGGAGACAAATACAAAACACAAAACTCTTTGTTTACAGGAATAGCAGCAGTTCTGGGCAATAGTGACTGCCTACTTTGAAGGCACAACAGAGAAAGTAGGAGACTCAGGAAAAGAAGCTTTTTGATGCAACAGTACAAAATTAGAATATATTGTCATGACTGTCATTTCCGCTGAACAATTCATACTTCTTTGACATGTCTAGCTTTGTGCTATGCAAGTAGGGCCATGCTATTGAGTCTGCCCTACTTCACAACCCTGCTAGGTAACTTTATTTAAGAGATTGAAATGCTGTTTTTCCTTTGCAGGTTTATAAAAACATGAGGACCCACTCTGGAATTGAAAAATGAGGGCTCATGATAAAGATGGTTAGTCTTCCTAAATATAATACAGAGAGAATTATTATCTGCAGAGCAATGAATGCCTTTGGAATCAAAGCTCCTGTTAGCAAAATTAAATTTGGCATGCTGTGTTGGAGAAAAGCTCCATTCTCTCCAGTCTTATGTCAAAGTCAGAGTAACTTAGGAAAATATCTTTGTATGATCTCTGCTATAGGATTCTTCCAGATGGACCATATTTTGGACTCACAATCCCAGTGTTGGGATCAGTCACCAAGATTTGAAAGTGCTGGAATTAGGGCATGTGTAAATTCTAATCATTGGGAGGATACCCATTCAGCAGATGGAAAAGAAATCCAATTGCTAGTGTGTTGCTACAAGGGCCCAGCCTATAACACCTGGAAGAAGATGAGGAATATGGACTAGGAAATGGAGTTTTCAAAAACTACAGTATAAGACACATTGTCTTTAATCCTCTTCAAAATACTTTCTCTTTGCTCCAAACACACTTGTCTCATCATCTTTCTGAAGTGGTTCTAAAAGTCCTCTTTCATGACTGTCTTTAAGAAGTGTGATGAAAAGTATAGTGAATACTGCTATGGAGTGTCGTCTAATGGAGAGGCATATTATATTGTGTCCTCATCTACCTTATTCACCTAATCTTGCACCGTATGACTTCTGGCTCTTTCCCAAAGTCAAAATGACCATGAAATATTTTGAAGTGATTCAAGGCAACCTCAATAGCACAATGAAAGACTCTCATGAAAGAAGACGTCCAGAACTGCATCAGAAAGTGGCAAGAATGATAAGTATGTTGGAAGGGATGGAGGTGTGTTTTGGGGGGATTAATGATTATGTGTCTTACTGCAATACACATTTTTATTTATACATACACCATATTTATCAATTATACCTTGTATAGACATTTCAATTTCTAGTGACAAAGCATAATACTGTAATGTAATTTTTCATGAATATAGTTACTATATATTATTATTTTCTATTTATACATTGCTTAACAAATTTGCACTCTTTGAGCAAATTGCACTTTCAAAGTTTCTCTATTCTCGAATGAAATCTGCCAATGAAACAAAATATTTTGGTATAGGGCAGTGGTTTTCCAGGGATCTACCTGGCAGGAGATGCTTCCTGAGAAGTTCTATTGCACTATTGAGTTCTGAGTAAGATTTTTATCAAACAAAATTCAAGTTTGAAAACCCTGTTAATAAAAGAAGAGGTTGTACCTTTGCTACATGACAAAGGCAAGAAAGAATTAATCTAACAGAACTGGAAAGTCACTGTTAGAATTGACTATGATGCAGGCCAGTTGGTTTAGAGCTAACAGAGACGTGGGGAGGGGCTCAATATTAAATTTAAGATTGTTGTCCTGATATCGTCCTTACTCAAGGACTATTGATTTTTTTTAAAAAATTAAGCTGTTTAAAAATGTTGTACTAAGGGTGAAACCATATTCAATGACAAATGGAGTATATAAGCCGTCTTCAGATGAGCCTTATCAAAGCCTCTCACATGGTGCTGGGATGGTTTGTTTTGATGGGCAGAATCTGAGTCAAGTGCCCTTACCTAGCTTCATTAATATGGATATGAACATGGTTCCCTAGACTCTGGCTAGTTCCACAAAAGCAGATTTTCTAAAATGCAGCCTGATAAATTACCCATTCAACGAGAGCTGGAGGATGTTTTATTTTACCGTAGTGTAGCTTAAAGACATTCGACCTGAGTTTCTGCAGAAAGTTGTCTCTAAAAGGAGAATATCAGTGTTACAATCCTTAAATATTATTCCCCCTCCCTTCTCTATCATTTTCTCCAAATAAGGATTAAGTGGATTATTTTTCTTTTGGGTTTTGTTTTGTTTTGTTTAATGTTCCACATTTAGTATCCAGGAGAACCTAGAATGAAAGACAAGGATTGGGAGAGAGAAAAGTAATTGAGAGTTTTGCTAATTATCTGTAAAAGAATTTTGAGGAAACAGCAAACTCACTTCATCACCATATTAATTCAGATCACTCCAACTTTTAGGAGGGAAAAAGGCTAATATTAGATGTGGAGCCCCCCAAAATGCTTTTTTTTTTAAGACAGGGTCTCACTCTGTAGTTCAGGCTTTGCTTGAACCCACTCTGTTGCCCAGGCTGGCAACTCACAGTGATACTTCTGCTTCAGCCTCCCATACTCTGGGATTATAGGCTTGCACCACTACCCAGCTTGCATTTTCTATTGTAGATGTTCCCCAGTTTGTCCAATTGTTCTATTTGTTTTCTCATAATTTAGAAGTTGAACAGGATTTAACCAGTAGACCAGGAAAGAAAGAAAACTGTCACTGGGGGCAACAGTATCAGCCTGTCAATTTACTAGCAAAGGTATTTACTATAGACTGAACATTATACTAAAATTATCTGATTTATGTCTCATCAAAATTTTGAGGAAGAAAACCTTATCCCTACTTTGTAGATTAGTAAAATGAGGCTTAGCAGGGCTAAGTGATTTACCCATAGTCATTCAACTAGAAAATGGTTGGAAAAGGATACAAATCCTGGCAGCTGGATTCCAGGGGCTGAGTACTTAATCTGTGTACTATAGTAAAAGGAAATGATGAAGGAAATAGGGGAGGTGTAATTGCAATAGCATATAATGCAAAGAAAGCATCAAGAGATGACAAGCCAGGAGCAGCTGCTTTTTTTGGTGGTAGAGGCTATTTTGAGCTGGCTCCTCAACTTTTATGTTTGCACTAGACAAGTTTTCATTTCCCTACATAATTTAAAATTTTCTATATCTGCAAAATTTTACTATATGCCTTATATAATAATTTATGGAAGGTCAAATTTACATAATTCAAGTGATAAATATCTTGGTGGGTATCTGTACATCATAATACCATAACTAAAGAGAAAGGAAAATGAGAATGATGGATAGAGTAGGGTTTTCATTCAGAGGCAGAGAGAGAAAGGATTATAGGGAGTAAAGAAGTAGAGATGGGGAGGAAGGCAGAAATTATGAGAAAAGGAGAGCAATTGACATGCCTTCTTTTATATGCTCTTTCTCGCTCTCTCTCCCTCCTTCCCTTCCTTTTGCTTTCCTTCTTCTTTCTTTCCTTTTTTCTTTCATTTCTTCCATCCTTCCTTCCTTGGTCGTTTAAAGTTTTTAACTTTTTCACATTCTCAGAATCATAAATATGTTTACATCATCTCAGGTAATGGGGGTGATTTGTAAGGAGACTTAAAAAATAAGGAAGTAAGGAAAAACATGAAAAAGCCTAGCAGCTAAACAACAAGGTCTTGAGGATAGCAGTGCTTTTTTTCCCCCACAAAGTCAGACCTCAAGGAGAACTGACCTAGCATTCAGCTGCCAACTGATAGTATCTCACTATGCACTGTCTTAGTTACTTTTCTCATTGCTGAGACAAAATACCCAACACCCAAAGTTGAAGGAGGAATGGTTTATTCTGGCTCACAGTTTGTAGAGGTTTCAATCCATAGTTGGCTGGCTCCAAGGCAGGGTGTCATGGTGGAGGAGCATCACAGAGGAGAAACAGTCCATGAAAGGGTAGGCAGGAAGGAGCAAGCAGTGAGCCTTCCTTTCCCTTTTTATCTCATCCAGGCTACAAACCTTTTGAGTAGTGCCACCCTCAGCCAGGGTGGGGCTTCCATTAGCCACACCCAGATCTATGCTAAACCAATTTAGTTATCACACTCCCTTAATCCATATTCACACATCCTAGATACAGCCACCTCTGAAAACTCCCAGCTATGAGTGCATGAGGCTTTGGGGGGACATCTAGATACAAGCTATATTATGTACCCTTTTTATTAGCAGACTTCTGGTGTTTCTGTCTTGGCTTTGACTTCTCTTGCCTTTAATGATTCTTCTTACTCTCTTTTCTACTTTACGTCTTATTCTTACTCTGGACGCTTACTACCTCATGGCTTTGTCTTCCTTCTGTGTATATCACAAATTTTGCTATACCATCCAAGAATATTCAGTTTATTCAAAGACTATTTAGGCACATTGGACACCTCTCCTATATGTTCCAAAAACATCCATTTCTTCTACATACTAAACACCTTTTAAAAGATTTGACCAGCTAACAATAAATTCCCTTAACTGCCCCTCACCTCAACTCAACATAAAGTTTCTTTTTTTAAGATTCCACTTCTTTGTCAATCATACCTGTCTTAAATCAGCCAATTAGAATTTCTTCCTTGACAATATGAGATTTTTGTTTTGTTTAACCATTTCATTTGAAAAGGCAGCCAGGCAACAACATTGAAGGAATTTTTAAATAACTTCAGTATTATTCCTAAGAGTAAAATTTTAAAGTAATGGAATATAATGTAGCATTTAATTTTGCTAAATTCTAGTGTAGTGTTTCATGTTGAATAGAATTAGCTTTGGATCTACTGCTATTAAATGTCAAAACACAAAGGTGCTAATGATAGAATAATGTGTCCACTATTGTATGTTGATTAATAAAACTGCATCTTCATTCTGCAAGTGCCAGTATGAAATTTAACCAAGCGAATGACTCAGCCCCTCCGGGTGGTAACTTTGTTGTCCTTGTCCCTTGTCCACCATCTCATTTTGCTCAGACTCAGGACTCACCTCTTTCATTAGTTTCCATTTAAAATATCTATTCATATATTGTAAATAATGTGGATAGTATCTACTATAAATGAAATGGAGGTGAAAGTGTCTATTCCTTTCTCTCCTCTGCTTCCTGACTGTCTCCCTCCTGGGCCATACTAATTCTCCTGGAGACTCAGTAGTTCTCCAATTTCTGGTCCCTTTTCTACCTAAAGCTAAAACCAAACTGCAAGGCTGCATTCTTCCTCTTGTGTTCTGTGAAACACCAAACTACCCAATAACTACCTTTTTAACTTGCTTTAGCTAGGCTGTCAATTTATCTCCCTAAAACAAGATTAATATATTCACTATCAAAAATATTGTTTTTTATTATCATTGCCAGTTATCTTCTCTATTTTCTTCACTCGATTGAAAGCTTCTTTGGGCAAAGATTGTATTTGTCTTGCACACTATTTTATTCTCACCATTAAACATGTTTCCTGAACCCTTAATAAGTATATTTTAAAGGACTGTAAATTTATTGACTGCCAATTGTATACTAAGCACTATTTTATGTATGATGATTATACAGATGAAAGACATTATCCTTTATCTCACATTGCTTAGAATGGGATTACTCCCAAATCAATCTAGTTCTACTTTAATTGTCCCTTTCATTAGTTGGGATCCTTTCAAGGAAGAATGTTGGCACCAGTAACAAAATCTCATGAGGGACAGGGATAAAGCTGGATCTTGGAGACAGCTGAAATCAAGGCCAAATGTGGTCAGCACTATCCAAAATTTAGTTTCTCCAAATCAGATTCATTTGCCCCTGAGTACGAAACAGTAGTCACCTGCAGTTTTCTAGCCTATAATATTCCAGATGTATCATTCAATACTCATCACCTTCCATAGTTCCAATGCGAAAAATCCTTAGAAACCCTCCAATTGGCTATGCTTGTGCTAAGTATACTTCTCTGAGCCAGTTGGAGGGAAGTCACTGGGATTATTTTAGTTTAGGTTTCTGTCCCAGCAGGATCTGGAGGAAGATGACACCTTATACCCTTAGCCATATGGATGAGGTACAGCCAAAATGGGAGTGGGTGCTCTTCTGGGCAGACAAAATTTACTATTTCTTTCTCCACTAACATTTCTCATCCTCACATCTATCAACTCCTTTACCTGACTTTATTTAATGAATACTTATTAAATGTTCATGTAGTGTAAACATTGTTCTGGGATCTTAGACTAAACTTTTCTCTCTTATTTTGAGTCAAGATCTTTCTGTGTATTCCAGGATGGCCTTGAACTTTCTATGTAGCTAAGGCTGGTCTTGAACTTACTATGTAAGCCAAGGCTGGCCTTGAATTCATGGTGGTCCTCTTGCCTCAGCCTCCAAGTGCTGGGATTACAGGCATGTGCCACACCCAGCATCTTAGACTAAACTTTTAGATTTTGTGTATTGTAATTTTATAAGGAAAATAAATACCTTTTTAAAATGTTTATAACTCCTGATCTCTTCTGCCTTTATTTTAGAGGTACAGCATTGTGTAATTTGCAAGTGCTAATTTATTTGGACAATCTTTCTGCACATGAATCTAGTGATTTTTATCTTTTGTTCTTATCCTTGCCATCCCTAATCTGTCTGGAAGTCCTGAATCTAAATCTATACCATCAGGCTTATTTGTGCTACTGCTCTATCCTTTTATCATGGTTCCATTAACTCACACCCAGGAATGTCAAGAGAATAAATAGCCCAATAAAACAAAAGAATATACTTCCAGATTTAAAAAGAAAGAAACATACAAGAAATACATAAATCATGCTGTATGACAATAGCCCAGAAGATTACATGGGAGGATGTTTGCGTTTCCTGTAGAAGAAAAGAAAAATGGAATTTCCATCCCTTGAATCAGCATTTGACAGCCAGAGATATTGTATTTTGGGGAACAAAAAGGAGAGATGGACATCAGAAATAATTGTGGTGCAATAAGTATAATTCCATGAAGGATGATGTCACATTTCTCAGGTAATGGCTTTATAATCTGAGACAATTAAAACACAAGTCTGATCTAAATTTCATAAAGAAATTTTTAATCATGAACATTTCCTTATAATAAGACACAGACCCTTACAGCATGAGCTTGATATATCAATTTCCTATAACTTAATGTCACACCTGTTTAATGGAGACTCGTGTCTCAATGAACACTTCCCAGATAAACAGAGGCACTTATGCAAGAGAAATAAACACCTGGCATAAGGTTTCTAAGAGCTCAAATAAAGATAAATTTGGTAACCTGACCCAAATGTTCTTGGATTTCAAATTAATCTAATGTTACCTGACATTTGGCACTTTTCTATCTCAATCAGAAAGACCACTCTGTGGCCAGGCTCTCATCACTCTTTTTCCAGAAGTGATTGTTGTTTTGCATCCTGTTGCTCACATGCTGTTTGGGTAGAGTACATTGCAATCTCCTAAATGGAGCAGAACATCATCCTCAGTCATTTCTAATCCAATATTTATTCCTGGAATTAATGCTAATGGAAGGCTAAGCTGAACATCAAAAGGGAACTATTTTCTTTAGGTTCTCTACATGACTTGATTTAGAAATAAATTATATTAGCATTTAAAAATGCATATTAGCGATTTCTCAATTTAAGCTCATAGTTTCACAGTTGAGGAAACTCAGACTCCAAGAAGTCTTACCCCAAGGTCAGGCAGAGCTTAGTGTCAGAGTGCTAACTTACACTGGAAACTAATTCTGTTTTACCTTAATTATAGGAAAAGTAAAACGATTTTACTGCTCAAATATGTTCTATACCTTTTTTTTTTTTTTTTTTTTTTTGGTACCAAGGATCCAACTTGGGACCTTGCGCTTTCAAGGCAGGCGGAGGAATCACTGAGCTTAATCCCCGGCCCTGTTCTATACATTTTAATGTTTAGTTCTGACAATATTTCTATTAGCAGAAAGCTGGATTGGTGAGCAGACAGTAAGCTTCTAGTAAAGAACATGCCAGCTTCCGTAGATTCAAAAATTTAAAATGTCCTTACCTTTCTAGGAAATACTCAGTACCACAAGCTGAGAGAGAGAGAAACAAATGCAGACTGCAGAGAAACCACTGAAATCACCAGATTGGATGAAGAAAACTCTTGCCTCCATCTCCCTCATTCCATTAGAACAGTTTTACCAATAATATCATTATTACTATCACTAATTGTTATGGTTTATGTTTAGATGTCCCCCCAAAGCCTCATGTTGATGAGGTGGGGCTATCTTTTTCAGAGGTAGTTGAATTTGGAACGTGTGAGACTGGGGTTAAGGGCCTGTGATTACTAAACCACTATGTGTGAGTGATTAGTTTGACACTGCCCTAATCCCAGTAGTCTGAATAAGATAAAAGGGGCAAAAAGATGCAACTCTTTTATTACCTTTGCTACCTTGTGTGTGCTCTGTTGTTTCTCCTCTGCAATGCCTGTTTGCCATCCCTGCCTTGGAGCCAGCTGATTATGGACTGAAACCTCTACAAACTGTAAGCCAAATAAACTCCTTCCTCTCCAATTTTGGATGTTGGGTATTTTGTCTCAGCAATGACAGAAAAGTAACTGAAACACTAGTATTAAGTAACCTAACCTAACCTTAATGCCCTCCCAAAGCAAGCTCCAAAATGGAGTTTACAGCCCTCTTGAATCTGTTCTGCTTTTCTGACCAAAGCCTGTCTGCTGCAGTACAGAGACCTGGGGTTTGCACACTGAGGCTTTTTAATGGATAAGACTCTAATGAAAGCCACATCTCATCTCTCCCTCAGGAACCTGAGCTGATCTGCCTGAGACAGGGAAGTTGGCCTTTTGGTACAACAGAAGAGTCCACTGGAGCACCACAGCATGTACCTCTAGCCCTAATGGCCAGATAGTGTTTTGAGAGCACGTGTTGCCTACAAACTCTCCTGGCCTTGCCAATTTTCTTTGTTTCCTATTTTGGCCAGCTTCTCTGTCCTCTCCTGTCCAGCTCTGTCTACACTCTCTGCTTCTATCTGCCATACAACCCCCAAATCTTTCCTGACACTGACTCATTTTATTATGCAGAAATGACAGCTCTCTGGTTGACTATCACTGACTTTCTGTTGGAGTCAAATCTTAAGTGAATTTTTTTTATTTCAAACTTTCTCATCTTGAGATAGTTCATTCTTTTTAGTTAGTTTTAAAATTTTTAATTGATACATAAAAATTGTCCTTGCTAATGGGGTATAA